AAGTTTAAGTTTTCGGGACCATTCTGGATAGTGGGACTTACTTTTAAGTTTTTGGGACCCTCTTGGATAATGGGATTTAATTTTATGTTTTCAAGACCCTCCTGGATAATGGGATTTAGTTTTAAGTTTTTCAGGATCCTCCTGGATAATGGGATTTAGCTTTTAAATTTGTAGGACCCTCCTCGATAATGGGACTTAGTTTTAAGTTTTTCAGGACCCTCCTGGATAATGAGATTTAGTTTTAAGTTTTTAAGACCCTCCTGAATAATGGGATTTAGTTTTTAGTTTTCAGGACCCTCCTGTATAATGGGATATAATTTTATGTTTTCAGGACCCTCCTGGATAATGGGATTTAGTTTTAAGTTTTTTGGACCCTCCTGGATAATGGGATTTAGTTTTAAGTTTTTATGATTCTCTTGGATAATGAGATTTAATTGTAAGTTTCCAGGACCCTCCTGGATAATGGGATTTAGTTTTTAGTTTTTAGGACCCTCCTGGATAATGTGATTTAGTTTTTAGTTTTCAGGACCCTTCTAGATAATGGGCTTTAGTTTTAGTCTTTCAGGACCCTTTTGGATAATGGGATTTATTTTTCAAGTTTTCGGGACCCTCCTGGATAATGGGATTTAATTTTTAGTTTTCAGGACCTTCCTCGATAATGGGATTTAATTATAAGTTTTTAGGACCCTCTTGGATAATGGAATTTAATTTTAAGTTTTTCAAGACCCTCCTGGATAATGAGATTTAATTTTAAGTTTTCAGGACCCTCCTGGATAATGAGATTTGATTTTAAATTTTTAGGACTCTCCTGGATAATGGGATTTAGTTTTAAGTTTTTCAGGACCCTCCCGGATAATGGGATTTAGTTTTAAGTTTTTAGGACCCTTATGGATATTGGGATTTGATTTTAAGTTTTTGGGACCCTCCTGGATAATGGGATTTAGTTTTAAGTTTTCGGGATCCTCCTAGATAATAAGATTTAGTTTTATGTTTTCAGGGCCATCCTGGATAATGGGATTTAGTTTTATGTTTTCAGGACCCTCCTAGATAATGAGCTTTAGTTTTATGTTTTCAGGGCCATCCTGGATAATGAAATTTAGTTTTAAGTTTTCAGGACCCTCCTAGATAATGGGGTTTAGTTTTAAGTTTTCGGGACCATTCTGGATAATGGAACTTAGTTTTAAGTTTCCAGGACCTTCTTGGATAATGGGATTTAATTTTAAGTTTTCAGGACCCTCCTGGATAATGGGATTTAAGTTTAAGTTTTCCGGACCATTCTGGATAATGGAACTTAGTTTTAAGTTTTTAGAACCCTCTTGGATAATGGAATTTAATTTTAAGTTTTTAAAACCCTCCTGGATAATGGGATTTTAGTTTTAAGTTTTTTAGAATCCTCCTGGATAATGAGATTTAGCTTTTAAATTTGTTGGACCCTCCTCGATAATGAGACTTAGTTTTAAGTTTTTCAGGACCCTCCTGGATAATGGGATTTTGTTTTAAGTTTTCAAGACCCTCATGAATAATAGGATTTTGTTTTTAGTTTTCAAGACCCTCCTGTATAATGGGATATAATTTTAAGTTTTCAGGACCCTCCTAGATAATGGGATTTAGTTTTACGTTTTCTGGACCCTCCTGGATAATGGGATTTAGTTTTAAAATTTTAGGATTCTCCTAGATAATGGGATTTAATTTGAAGTTTCCAGGACCCTCCTAGATAATGGGATTTAGTTTTTAGTTTTCAGGATCCTCCTGGATAATGTGATTTAGTTTTTAGTTTTCAGGACCTTCCTAGATACTAGGATTTAGTTTTAGGCTTTCAGGACACTTTCGGATAATGAGATTTATTTTTAAAATTTTGGGGACCCTCCTAGATAATGGAATTTAATTTTAAGTTTTCAGGACCTTCCTGGATAATGGGATTTAATTTTAAGTTTTCAGGACCCTCTTGGATAATGGGATTTAGTTTTAAGTTTTTAGGACCCTCCTGGATAATGGGATTTAATTTTAAGTTTTCAGGACCCTCTTGGATAATGGGATTTAGTTTTAAGTTTTTCAAGACCCTCCTAGATAATGAGATTTAGTTTTAAGTTTTTAGGACCCTCCTGGATAATGGGATTTGATTTTACGTTTTCAGGACCCTCCTGGATAATGGGATTTAATTTTAAGTTTTTCAGGACCCTCCCGGATAATGGGATTTAGTTTTAAGTTTTTAGGACCCTTATGGATATTGGGATTTGATTTTAAGTTTTTGGGACCCTCCTGGATAATGGGATTTCGTTTTATGTTTTCGGGACCCTCCTAGATAATGAGATTTAGTTTTAAGTTTTCAGGGCCATCCTGGATAATGGGATTTAGTTTTAAGTTTTCACGACCCTCCTGGATAATGGGATTTGGTTTTATGTTTTCAGGGCCATCCTGGATAATTGAATTTAGTTTTAAGTTTTCAGGATCCTCCAGGACAATGGGATTTAGTTTTAAGTTTTCAGGACCCTCCTAGATAATTGGGTTTAGTTTTAAGTTTTCAGAACCCTCCTGGATAATGGGATTTAAGTTTAAGTTTTCGGGACCATTCTGGATAATGGGACTTAGTTTTAAATTTTCAGGACCCTCTTGGATAATGGAATTTAATTTTAAGTTTTCAAGACCCTCATGGATAATGGGATTTAGTTTTAAGTTTTTCAGGATCCTCCTAGATAATGGGATTTAGCTTTTAAATTTGTAGGACCCTCCTCGATAATGGGACTTAGTTTTAAGTTTTTCAGGACCCTCCTGAATAATGGGATTTAGTTTTTAGTTTTCAGGACCCTCCTGTATAATGGGATATAATTTTAAGTTTTCATGATCCTCCTGAATAATGGGATTTAGTTTTAAATTTTTTGGACCCTTCTGGATAATGGGATTTAGTTTTATGTTTTTAGGATTCTCCTGGATAATGGGATTTAATTTTAAGTTTTCAGGACCCTCCTAGATAATGGGATTTAGTTTTTAGTTTTCAGGACCCACCTGGATAATATGATTTAGTTTTTAGTTTTCAAGATCCTCCTAGATAATGGGATTTAGTGTTAAGTTTTCAGGACCCTCCTGGTTAATGCGATTTAGTTTTTAGTTTTCACGACCCTCCTAGATAATGGGATTTAGTTTTATGTTTGTAGGACCCTCCTGGATAATGGGATTTAGTTTTTAGTTTTCAGGACCCTCCGGATAATGGGATTTAGTTTTAAGTTTTTAGGACCCTCCTGAATAATGGGATTTAGTTTTTAGTTTTCAGGACCCTCCTAGATAATGGGATTTATTTTTTAGTCTTCAGGACCCTCCTGGATAATGGGATTTAGTTTTAAGTTTTCAGGACCCTCCTGGATAATGGGATTTAGTTTTTAGTCTTCAGTACCCTCCTGGATAATGGGATTTAGTCTTTAAATTCTTAGAACCCTTTTGGATAATGGGATTCGACTAATACTCACAAATGTTCCTGGTACAAACTGGGGCAGAATGTTTCCATTATTTTGTCTTTTTCATTGTGATTGCAGGCACCCACATGGAGAATGAGGGGATTTATTTCAACATGACTTCAATTCAGTTGCAGGCGCCCACCTGGAGAACGGGGGTATTCATTTCAGAGTTTATTTCGAGTTTCAAGTCAGTAGTAGGGGCCCATTTTGAGAACGAATGTATCCACTTCAAATTGAATTCAAGTTCGAATCAAGAACGTCAGGCACCCATCTGGAGAATGAGGGTATTTACATCAGAAATTGGTTTCAAGCTCAAGTCTACTTCAAGTCTAAACAGCAAGAGCCCGCCTGAAGAATAGGGTCAACTTTCAAGTTACATTCATGTTCGAGCAGCAAATGCCTGCCTGAAGAACATGGTCAGTTTCAATTTTCAAGTTCAAATCATGAGTACCAGGGGGCCGCCTAAAGAATAGGGTCAATTCAAGTTAGAAGTAGCAGAAGCTCGCCTTAAGAATGTGAGTCAACAGTTCGAGATGCACACAAGACCGGGAAAAGATTCATGATAGAAGAGTAGATAGGATTTTGCAGTTTTTCTTGTAATTTTTATCTTATTTGATTTTATTTTTGATGTAATGACAGGAACCGCGGAACGGAACCTCGACGGAACCTCACTCGACTCTCTTCCCGTCTCGTCATACTCCATCACTCCATTCACTTTTGAACTACACGTGACCTGATTCCCTTATAACCCGGGATACGTAGGCTGTCCAAAACCAGGACTCGGTCGCACTATATTTATTTTATTTTTGTTCTCTTTAAATAAGGTTCGGGTCAAAAAAGTTGTCTCGTCGATCTTTGTCTGAAAACTCTTCGTGTTTCCAGTCAAAAGGGGGCAGCTGTAGACATGTAATTTTTGACCTTCCTTGAAATTTTACATCTTTTAGTGCTTAGTGTTGGTTTTAGGTGTAGTAATGCTATTTTGATTATTTTTTACCTTTTTGCTTTATTTTATCCTAAAAATAAAAACTACAAAAATATTTTTCTTGATTTTATCTAGTTGGTATTTTGTCTAGCATTTTTTTTATTTATCTTACTTCTTATAAAATTAAAAAAAACTAAAATTGTCTTGGTATTTATTTTTAAAAAAGATTAAAAAAAAAAACAAAAAAACTTTCACAAAAATATTTTTACTCAGTTTAGTGATTTTTAAGTTGGAGGCTTTAGGAAATACTTAGTAATAGTAGTAGTTAAATCCCTTTAATATAGTTACTATATTTTTCTGTCTAATATTTATTCCCTATTAATCTAAAGCAATTGGAATTTGTTTTGCTATTTTAATTTAGTAGTATTTAATTTTTAGTTTTTGTTACTTTGGATTATCTTTAAACAATGAAAAAAAAGAGAAACAGAAAGTAAAGAATGGAAAAAGCAAAACTAAAAAATAGGAAAGAAAAGTGAAAGTGGTCCCTTATCCTCCTTTATTATTTTATTTTTAGATATATATTTCTTTTTCTCTCAATCTCCAATCACCTCTTCTCACCTCACATGTCCACATGATTCCCTATAACAAACTACAATTCACATCTGCTCATTCTAGAAAAATCCTTTCTTGGGCACCAAGTTCACGTGATAAGAGAGAGTCCAAAATTGGAAGGGATAAAAAGGGAGATTTTAGAAAAAAAAACAGAGGGGGAGGCGGCGAGATTAGCAGCGGAAAAATCCTTTGCCGCCGCAGACCATCTTCTACTCTCTCACGTTCTCACCATGGAAACCAGCCATCAAAATACTACAAAGGCTCCATTAAATACACCCAACTTCACCCAAAAATCAGCCTTGTAAACAGCTGCGAACAGCTCCAAAAATGACCTCAAATCTGTTCCAGAACTAGCAGCAAAACACCTCCGAAAACCAGTCAAAACCCGCTCCAAACCCAGCCGAAGAACAAAAAAAACAGCTCCCTCTTCGCACAAAAACAGCAGCTCCAAAGTCGAGTTCGAGATCACCAGAAGCAATTTCGATCAGAGGTTCCGATCGTGGTTCGCTTTTCCGATCCCGGCTCCTGTTCGTACTACCGTTGCTGTAATTGAAAGGGTGTCGCACCTTGAGGTCCATTCTTCTCTTAAATACTCTGCTTTGATCCCATTATTTGTTGTTAATTATTATTTAGTTGTCCATGATTTGTCACTGATTTAGCTAGATTACATTGATAAGATAATAATTGTTTGAGTTGTCGATTGAATTTCTTTAGTTGATATCAGTTTATGGGCTATAGGTTTCAGTATAATGAACTAAAGCAAAATTGGATCCTAAATAATCAAGTTGGTCGTGCAGTTGTCAGTTTAAAATTGGACCTGAGGCTTGATCAATAATGAGATAGAGTATAAGTTTAAGAAAGATTTTGTTATTCTTGTTTCATCTCTCATCGATAGTAACATGTTTAGGCCTACCATACTTGGGTAGGCAAACCTTAGGTCTTTTATTTTATTTTTATTCAAGGTGAGAGGTTGTTCTCTTTAGTTTATACTCAGAGGAATGCCCTGAAGAGCTTTTTTTTTTTGTAAATATTATTTTATTTAGGGGAATGCCCAGCAATATATGTAAATAGAAGCAAAGGACGACATCATCGTGGAAGCTTTGGTATAGACTTTTAGTATTTTTCTCTTATTTTATTTTCTCTTATTTAGGTGGGGACAACCTCGAGTCTCTTGTGTCTTTATTTTTATTTGTATGTTTCTATCTCGATCTGAGTATTCTTAATATCCAATTTGATCAAGTGTGCAACCGTACTAGTTACGGGACTTGGGGAATGCTTAATACCTTCCCCATGAGTCAAATGAATTCCCTTATTCAGAACTTCTGGTGCAGTCAGTTTTACGGTCAATGTGTTTTGAAGGAAATGTTTTTTAAAACAATGGTGACCTGGCACACCGAAACCAAATGTCAGGTGGCGACTCTAAAAAAACTTTTGAAACACAAACTCTTGTCACTTTCAATTGAAAACCCTTTTGAGCTTAAAACCCACTTTTTATCATTTTAAGAGGGTTAAAGGGTTAAAAAAAGGGGTGTGACAAACATATTGCCCAAAATGATAATCAAGCATTCACGTTCCTCTACATTACAAGCAAACTCTTTTCATCACATTTGAACTTCCTAAGTAGATAAGCCACCTCAAGGATCATCTCCCACGAACCATCCACAATAAAAATAGCGATTCGACCCCAAAGTCGCAACACATCGTCATCTCCGATAATCACTTCTTAGGTACCACTTCGCAACACCATACCCCCAAAGGCAAACAAATGAAGACCATCATACTGACGAGCCTTAATTCGTTCAAACAAGGACGACGACACCACAATACAAACAAGAATTCCACTAAGTTAAGAGATATCAAATCTTGCTACTCCGTCAACCAAATAATGAACATCCATAGCCCAACTTCCTCTTCTGCGTTGGAATTAAATACCAAATCTTCCAGTCACGAACCGAATAATCCTCATCCTAAAGTATTCACTGCCGCAATGCATAAGTAAACACCCTACCGTTCACACCAATACTTCGCGATAACAATGCGAGAAACATCACAATACACCGTGTATAGCGCATAACTCGTGGGCAACACCAACATTGACTGAAATGACTTAACACCCCTCCACAAGGCGACGATAGTAGTCCGTCCACATACGTAGGGAAAAATATCTTGCATCACATATGTAGCATCTTTACAACTCGTCGGTGCCTAACTGATATAATGCTAGACATCGTGTACGAATGAGTAGGAAGAAACTGAAGACATAAGCTTCAACCAAAATCAAGTCGCACGATAAGGAACCAAGAAAGGGAAGTTCTCTTAATAGCCCTTTAGCCTCTCAAAGATAAGTACAAACATCTTTGTACCAATCCGCAAGACTCTACTAGACTTGCTCATGACTCGTGAGACCTAAGTGAACCTAGTGCTCTAATACCAAGTTTTTACGACCCATTTCCCACCATAGGCCGTGATTGCACACAACGCAGCCATTAGGCAAGCCAATAATTTAATCAACACGATTATCGATGGTTCCTAACATATTTTAAAATAATGGTGAAATAATTATGTAAAATTTCTTTATTTTTATAAAATATTAGAACATGATCAAAATGCAATACCAAATGTCGTAACAGAATACATCCAAGATTAATAATTTAAATTCCTAAAATCCGGTGTCACAAGTGCATGAACATCTACTAGAATATACAATACTACTACAATAACTGTCTAGAATAGAAACTAGACAAAATGCAATAATGAATTGGAAGGGGACTCCGTGTGCTGCGAATCGTAATATGGAATGCATCTCACCACAAAGTCTCCTCAGCAGCTGCACCTACGCTCCTGTGTGACCACCAAATATACATGTCTCAGTACCTGCATAATTAGTGTAGAAGTGTAGTATGAGTAAGTAAATCAATCCGTAACCACTAAGTATCTAGCCTAACCTCGAGAAGTAGTGACGAGGGGTCGACCTAGACACTTACTAGTGGTCCAATAATCAAGTACAATAAAAGTAGACAGGTATGAAGAATAGGTAAAAGAAACGAAGCAGATGTATGTGTATGGCACGATCCTCAACAGAGGGGCAAATACTAAGTTCTCAAATGCCGGATACTACCTCGAATAAAATACATAATGATCAATCCCAAATAAAACATCACATCTCAAGTCAGAAAGACTTATAGGTACGCTAAGTCCTTATCGAATATTACTCACGATTCTGTCGAGGCGAATGGACCGATCCCATAAGAATATATTACATGATACTGCCGGGGCAAATTGCCCGATCCCATAAGAGTACTGTTGAAGTGTTTAGCTCGATCCCATAAGAGTATTGCTAAGGCGTTCAACCCGATCCCATAAGAATATGAAACTTTGACGGGTCAGTGGTCCACTCACGAATATATGTGTGAGTTATGAAATTCAAGAAACTTTTGAACGAATACGCACAACGCAGGATAAATCTATAAAAGAAGTATAATTTTTATGACTAATCAAGTAGCTCGTCAAGTATCTAAAATAGCAAAGTTCGATACTCTATGCAAGTTCAGTCTCGGGATAAAATAATAAGGCATTTAAACAGGGAAGAATAACTCAAACAATATAATTGAAACATAGTGTGAGTCTAAGTCTACTCGGACATAATTAAGAGTTCTAGTATACGCACGGACACTCGTCACCTCATACGTGTGTAGCACCCATAACACGTAGCACATAACAAAAATAGCACCTACGTGGTAAATTTCCTCTTACAAGGTTAGACAGAATACTTACCTCGCTCCAAAATTCAATAACCGGTTCCAACACCTCTCTGACACCTCAAATTAATGTCAAACGATCCAAAACTAGTCAAAGAACGTGCAACCCAATCAAAATATACCCAAAGACTCGTAATTTAATCAAATAGAAAAAATTCCCAAATCCACACGAAAAGTCAACAAGATCAACCCCCGGGCCCACACGCCCGGTTTTCGAAATTCTCGAAGATAAATATTACCCATAGCATCACAAACTCAAATATATAATTTATTACCAATTCCATGTCCAATTCATGGTCAAAACTCAAAAATACCATTTATAGCTTTTCTTCCAAAATCCCATAATTTCTACCAATTTCAATGTTTAAATCCATACATAATCCATGTATTTAACTTACAACACGTGGAAATCACTTACCTTATAATAGATGATGAACATGGCTTCTCCAAATTGCCCAAAGTCACCTTAGCAAGAGAGAAATGAGTTGAAATGAGCAAATTCCCGATTCGCTAACTTATATTCTGCCCAGGCCCTTCCTCTTCGCAATCGCAGAAGCTTCCTCGCGATCGCGAAGGCCAAATCTACAGCTGCCCAATAATCCTCCTCGCGAATGCGAGATTGGGTCCGCGAACGCGATGCCTTACCTAGCCTGCCCTACGCAAACGCGGTCGGCCCTTCGTGAACGCGAAGGCCAACCTCCAGTCCCAGCTTCTTCTTCGCGAAGGCGATCTCGCTGTCGCGAACGCGAAGCATTACTGCACCAAGCCTCCGCAAACGTGGCTCAACAAACTTAAAGCACAAATGGCCTCTAGCCTAAATCCATCATCGCGAACGCGTGCCTCCCACCACGTTCGCAAAGAACAAAACCAGAACCAGCAGTACCAAAGCACTCCAACATGGTCTGACACCACCCCGAAACACCCCCAAGGCCCCCGGGTCCCCGTCCAATTATACAAGCCAGTCCCAATACTTTATCCAAACTTATCCAAAGCTTGAAACGCCATGAATAATATTGAAACCAAGAATCGACGATCAAAATCCTTTTTTAACGTTCAAACCTTCAAACTTCGCCGAACGCGTCCGAATCACACTTACACATTCCGGAATACGACCAAACTTCACATACAAGTTCCAACCAAAGCTCGAAACGCCATGAACAACATCAAAACCAAGAATCGACGATCAAAATCCTTTTTTTAAGGTTCAAACCTTCAAACTTTGCCGAACGCGTCCCAATCACACTTAGACATTCCGGACTACGACAAATCTTCACACACAAGTTCCAACCAACTAAATGAACCTATCAGGTCCCGGAACATATCCCAAAGTTCGATGACGCTAAAGTCCACTCTAGGTTAAACTTAGCTAATTCAAAACCTTCAAAATGCAAACTTCCGATAATAAGCGCTGAATCACCCCCGAACCACCCAATACTCAACCCGAACATACGACATAGTCCGAAATCACCTTACGAACCTATATGAACCTTCAAATCCTGATTCCGAGGTCGTTTACTCAAAAGTCAAACATTGGTCAACTCTTCCAACTTAAAACTTCCGAATTGAGAGTTATTCTTCTAAATCAATTCCGAACTTCTCGAAAATTAAAACCGACTACACGTGCAAATCATAATATACAAAGTGAAGCTATTTAAGATCTGAAACTGCCGAACAACATGCTAGAGCTCGGAACGACCGGTTGGATCGTTATAGCAACTGAATTTCTGGGTTTGGAATTGAAGATGTGGCTAGTGTTCGCTTGTTCCCATGGGGTGGGTTGTGAGTAAGGAGGAGATAATTGGGGTGTGTTGTTAATTTAATTATATAAAATCCAAAAATTATTGTACTTATAAAAGAATTAATATGAAGAAATTAAATTGAGGTTTGCTTTCCCGGTGGCTGGGTTATGGAGGAAATGTTGGTGTTATATTAAATCGAAAAAATATTGTAGTCCAAAAGAAATAATGGGGACATTAAATTGAAAACAAAATAACTAAAACAATAAATCACTTTTTCCATATTTTTTTCCAATTGTGAAAAATCTGCAAGAAGTTGTTCATGGGAAATTACTTGCAAAGAATCCGTAAGAAAACTTCTTTCTTTCATGAATTTTTATCAAGTTTCCTGCAAATTATTAGTGTTTCTTGCGAAAAATTCTGCAAGTAATTTATATGAGAATTCGAAATTCCAAGGTGACGTACTTAAGAATTTTAAAATTCGCAGGTAATAATTACTTATGAAGGTAATAATTAATTACCTTTTTTCATAGCAAAATTCACAAGATATTACATTACCTGCAAAATTTCCTATATAATCCCTAGGAAAATCCGCTTGTAATTTGTAGCGATACATCTGTAATGCATGTGTTTTGATCTATTCAGAATCCATTAGCTCTTAATAGTGTTGATCATCACAAATTACAATAAGAGAAGTAGGATATGTAGCTTATATTTATTACTACTATTCTCTCTGTTTCAGTTTATGTGAACCTCTATTGTCCTTCCAAAAAGAATGATTCCTTTTTAAATTTGAAAATAATTTTACTTAAACTTACAATTTTA